GGTTCTTTGTACTTTGGTCTGCTCTTCGTAGCCGTGAGTTCTACTTATAGATCGTTTCGGAGTTTTAAAAAGAAACTGTAACAACATTCAAGGCATCTACAGCACTACAGCTACGGCCAGTTGCAATAACGAAATACAATTAGAGAGTTGGAGCTGACACAGTGGATCTTCACATTGTAGCGATGATGATCACTTTTCTGTAACTTGATAAGTATATGTGTAACTCTTAGGACGGGTTCTTAGTTAATTGTGTATCTTTGTACACCTTCACAATTTGCTGCTAGGCGGATCATCCTTGGTCGGTTAGAGGAAACATTATAACACCAGATTATCATAAAATGACGATAAGAGTTTTTCGCCGCATTTTGAAATGTAGCGGCGAATTCACATGTAGATCTATGCAACTTTTGTTTTTGGACATCTCGTCACTCTAGATGTGTCATCGAAGGCATTCTTTATTCGATCACGATGGGAAGTGACACATCATGTAGACCAGTGATTCTCAAAATGGTCCAGGTGGCTCCTATAGGTCCATGGGAGACTCAACAGAGGGGTCTACGTTGGCGTGAAAAAAAAAATGAGAGTTTCCGAGTGGGTATTAACGAAAATTTATCTTGTTTCGACAGTAAGGTACAAAAATGTCGTTTAGTATTTTGAGAAGGCCTGCGTCTGTCCCTCGTAATAACTTGTGTATTCGATATTCGGTAGTTTCCGAACATGTTACAGTCAGAATGTTTTGATGGGGATATTCGAACATGTTTAAAATTGAAATGTCCTGCACGATGAAAATGGAGAAAAGTGAATTTCGTGTTCTAATTAAACATTATTTTTTGCGTAAAAAAACCATCACTGCAACCAAGGAAAGGCTTGACAAATACTATGGGGACTCTGCACCATCTATTTCAATGGTGAAGAAGTGGTTTACTGAGTTCCGTTGTGGTCGAACCAGCACAAGTGATGCCGAACGTTCAGGTCGCCCACCAGAAATCGTGGATAAGATCCATGGGATGATATTGGAAGATCGGAGAATAAAAATACGTGAAGTAGCCGAGGCTGTAGGCATTTCTACTGAGCGGGTACATCACATTTTACATGAATACTTGGACATGAAAAAACTATCCGCGAGATGGGTGCCGCGATTGCTCACAGTCGACCATAAGCGCAACCGTGTGACCATTTCAAGGGAATGTTTGGCGATGTTCAGCCTCAATCCGAACGCATTTTTGCGCCGTTTTGTAACTGTAGACGAAACATGGATTCATCACAATACTCCAGAAACCAAAGAACAATCAAGACAGTGCGTTTCACATGGTGAGCGTGCTCCAAAGAAGGCCAAGGGGGGTCTGTCAGCCAGCAAAGTTATGGCCACAGTTTTCTGGGACGCATGCGGTATCATTTACATCGATTACCTTGAGTAGGGCAAACCGATCACGGGAGAGTACTATACAGAGCTGTTAGACAGATTCAACGTTGCTTTGATGCAAAAACGACTGCATTTGGCAAAAAAAATTGCTGTTCCATCACGACAACGCACTGGTACACACGTGTGTAGTCTCGATGGCAAAAATTCATGAACTGGGCTACGAACTGCTGCCCCATCCAGCCTATTTTCCAGATTTAGCCCCCAGCGACTACTTCCTATTTCCAAACCTGAAAAAATGGCTGGGTGGTAAGAAATTTGAGTCGAATGAAAACTACTATTCGGAAAGAATTAAGAAATTGGAAAAACGCTGGACTAAATGTATCGAGCTAAAAGGAGATTATGTAGAGAAATGAAATGCTTATTTGCCGAAAAAAAAAATTTTATTTAAAAAGTCACCGACTTATCAAACAGCCCTCGTAGCTCAGATTTTTACTATTCAGACATACCTTTCTTCTTTCTATCAGTCTGTGTCTCTGTCCCAGTCCTTCATTGTCATATTGATAAGTAGCAGTCTAAATGATAATATCTGAGATGTGCACAGCATTAGAGTATGATTTGACCACCACAATTTCTAACTAAAATGATCAGTTAGTTATAATGTGCGGTTCTCTGATAATAAAACAGTAAAAAACTTTTAATTCGTTTTGAATACCTAGATTACGAATCATACTATCTTTGTTTTATTTTATATTGGGAATTGAAATGTTGCTAATGAAATTCGAGGAAGTGTATCTCTCTTTATATGTCTCGACTAAAATAAGTATTTTTTACATTGTTTTTATTTTTTAAATTGTTAATGTATATGTAAAGTTAGTATTTTGTTTTTTCTACTGCCCTAAAGAACGAAATACATTATTTCGAAACTTTGTAACATAGCTCAAATCCAGTTAATTACTAGAAACTTATTGATTTGATAATTTGCTGTCAATGCGCCTGATTCTGATTTATTATATTTTTGCACTTTGACTTATATCGCGGAAGAAGTTACCTTTTTCGTTATTAATGTCTTATTTTATCCCTATTGAGTTTTTAATTATGAAATTTTAATGAATATACTAAGTGATATATTAAACGCAACACCCATAATTATTTTTTATTTTATTTTGCTACATGGTAGTATACGCTGATAAAATGTTGAAGGCATTCCGAGCCGTACTACTTTTGTAAAGGCCTTTTTGTCATATCTGGATCCGAACAATATGAACATGTTTACTTAATATTTAGTGATTTTGCTGTGTTGGTTCCATTTGTTTCATTGCATTATCATGCCTAGAGTTCGCTGACGCGCTAATTTCACCCAACTTTCCGAGTTTGAGAGGGGTCGGATAGTCACGTGAAGCCGGATTTTATTTTAGAGAAATCGCTAATCGGGTGAATCGAAACGATGTTGTCGAGCGTGGTTCCAAGAAGGCCAAAATCGACCAGTTAAAGGTACTGGACGTCAGCGGCAGGACCGTTATTTGAGGCAACTCCCAACTAGCAAAGTAGTGGTATAAGCTTTTGGTAAAAGAACCGTTCAGCCATAAAAGCTCTCTATTGTTGTTGCCTGAACACCAAAATGCTGGCTTAATGTTGTGTGGAATGCAAAATTGCTTTCTGCAACATATTTGCTCTAAAATGAGGTGTTTAAAATATTCTTATAGCATAGTTTACAACACCTTATAGGGCAAATTTTTAACTGTTGCATAAACGTTTATACAACTATTTTATACGGCATATTTGCAAGTTAGTCAAAATGGTTGTATTGTGGCATCCATGGTAACGTTTATAAAACAAACCCGAGCCTTGTTGTTTTGCTGTGCAATTTACTACCTTAGCCAACAAATTGCTCCCAACGGAAGCACTTATACAACTGTTGTTTAGTAACTGTTAAAGGCTGTACATATGCTAAATATGTTGGTAAACAACTTCACCATAACCTAACTTTCTGCTGTCATATTTTTGTTAAAATGCCATAACCAATGTTTTAAGACAAACAACGCATGCATATTGGTTCAAAAGGTTCTATGAACTGTTCAAACAGAAGATATAGATCTGGTACAAATTCTGGGTAAATCATTCGACTCTATTGGTATTTCATTTCAGACATTTGTCAGACTGTTGTATAACACCTGCAGGCAACACCAAAATATTCTAATAACCTAAATCCGCCATATTGGGCGAACATTTATTCCTCTATTAATATTAAATAATTACGTTTCTGTTCGAAATTACGGATATAAAGTGATAAACATTAGTGTAATTGTGTCTAAATATAGGATTTGTGGAAGATTTAACGCAGATAAGTTAAGTTTTCCATCTTAAAAATCTAGACATACTTTTGATCATTGTCAAAATATGAATCAAATACGAAGCCCGTAGAAATTGGGTAACTAATTTGCACGATAATCACAATAAAATTTGCTGCGCAAGTAATTCAATAGCTCTATATCAAAGTGTAGAAGTTTATCATATGCCTGTGTATGAAATTCACAATGGCCGATATGTAAGTAAACAAGATGACTGTAATGTGTTTGTTATATATTCTTCACTTCATCTATACTACACATAAGAAATAGTTTGGTTGCAATAAAGTAGAATCACGTAACAGAATAGTTGTATAGTTGACAAAAACTGAATCTCACACTGACGCAAATGTCCTATAGCGGCTGCAAGAGGCTTACACTTTTGTTTTATAACTGTTACCTGCAGCCCTTATACAACCTCTTAAATGACTGAAGTGTCCTATTAGGTGTGCCCATTCCGCTTGTATAGCTGTTCTAAGAGGGTTTTGCCAATGTTCTTACAGTATACAATGCTGTTTAAGGAATACTGTATAATCATTCTTGCAGGGAGTGATAATTGTTAGTTGGGCTAGCACTTAGAGATCGATTTTCCACAAAAAGAGCAGTTGCGAAGATGTGGTTTGAAGCTGTTGGAAGGACAACAACATCGTCGAATAAGGTCTTTTGGACTGTTTTCATACCGTCTCAATCTTGTACTACCTCTGACCCCACAGCATCGTCGGCAACGATTGGTATGGAGTGGGAAGAGACTTGAATGGAATAGGGAATTGAACTTAGGCCCGTATCGTCAGTCGTCCCTACAATTGTAGGGCGCCTTTATGGCCTCCTTGATTGTCATAGTTTTCTACTTCTCCGTGTCAGCGCTCTATTTTGAGGTTATGTCACAAACATCAATTTGCATCAAATTGTGCTTGGTTTTGAGTTACATCATGTTTTATCAGCCTGAAATTTCCTACAATTTAAAAGGAAAACAAATCTTCACAATAGGAGAGCGCTGACGCTGACACGGGTCAAGTGTAATCTAGAAATTTTTGAAGGAGAGAAAGGAGTATGACAATCAAGGAGGCCATAAATGCCCCCTAAAATTGTAGGGTCGACTGACGATACGGGCCTTAGTCGTGTGCAGCGATGAGTACAAATTATTTTTGACCGCTATGAGCTTAGGCATGTATAGTAGGTACCTATTGGTGTATAATCACTAATTAAAAACAGTGACCGCTAATTAAGTTGAGCAGTTTAATAAGTAAAATGTGTTTTGTACAATATCTATGTTATCTCTATATCTATAATACCTGCAATTAAGCTAAGGCGGTTTTCAGGTTCAGATACTTATTATATTTTCACCTTCGTGGAAACTAGAACTGAAAGCATGTTTTATAGTTTATATCTGTAATATATAAGTGAAAAACGGTATGACTATACTACCAGAGATTAACGGCGCGACTTCCAATGACCGTAAGGACTCAATTGTAAGTCTTCCAAGCAGCTACTTCAGGTAATGACGAACAAGATCTAAAATATCTATAATTCTAAGTAAATGAGAATTTGGAACCTGAGTTAATAATCTAATTTTACTTAGCCTATAAGTGAGCTTGCAGACACGACCGCTTAGTCAGAATCAGATAGAAATTTTTTCCAAAGAAAATTTTCCTTCTAACTTGGAAGTCATACTCATTCAAACAAATGACTGTGCACTTAAAGTTCTGTTTCTTCCGTGTCGTAAGGCCAGGTTGTCTGTAAAATAATATTTGCCGCTTCTGGCTTAATTTGTATCTATATTGTATCTATATTATATATATATATATATATATATATATATAGTGCTTTTGAAGTCCAGAAAATCTCAATTTCATAGTGGAGTATATTTATTGGCTCTGTAGATACATTTGCGCTATGCGCTTATATGCAAGGTGTCCCAGAAGTCGACGTCCAGCCGGAAACGGGGGATAGGCCAAGTCATAATATTTATCAGAAAAATTTAAAAATATCTAAGTTGGTCACTTTTCAAATTATAGGATTAAAAAAGTCGGAAAAATCTACACCCTATGATGATCTTTTAGTTCCCGTAACTACAAATTTAATTTTTTTTAGACGGAGTGACGGAAACACAGTTACATCAAGACAGATAGTAACGCCACTTCTATTAATTCGTAAATGTAATTAATAAATTCACAATAACTCAAACTGCCTTGCTTGAGCAGCAATGCAAGCTTGACATCTTACAAATGATCGGGATATCAGATGGGCGAATCTTCCGTTATTAACAAATTCAGCTGCTTCCGTTATTCTGTCCCGTAGCTCAGCTAAATTTTCGATTAACTTTGAGTAGACTTTTTCTTTCACCGTTCGACAGTAAAAAAAAAACGAATGGATTTAAGTCAGATGAACGAGCTAGCCACGAAATTGTACCAGACGGCCCAACTAGCAAAGTAGTGTTATAAGCTCTTGGTAAAAGAACCGTTCAGCCATAAAAGCTCTCTGTTGTTGTTGCCTGAACACCAAAATGCTGGCTTAATGTTGTGTGGAATGCAAATTTGCTTTCTGCAACATATTTGCTCTAAAATGAGGTGTTTAAAATATTCTTATAGCATAGTTTACAACACCTTATATGGCAAATTTTTAAGTGTTGTATAAACGTTTATACAAAACAAACCGGAGCCTTGTTGTTTTGCTGTGCAATTTACTACTTTAGCCAACAAATTGCTCCCAACGTAAGCACTTATACAACTGTTGTTAAATCACTGTTAAAGGCTGTACATATGCTAAATATGTTGGTATATAACACCATAACCTAACTTTCTGCTGTCATATTTTTGTTAAAATGCCATATCCAATGTTTTAAGACAAACAACGCATGTATATTGGTTCAAAAGGTTTTATCAACTGTTCAAACAGAAGATATAGATCTGGTACAAATTCTGGGTAAATCATTCGACTCTGTCGGTATTTCATTTCAGACATTTGTCAAATTGTTGTATAACACCTCCAGGCAACACCAAAATATTCTAATAAACTAAAGACAACATGGACGATGCCATGATTATACACAACCACCCGCCATATTGGGCAAACATGTATTTCTGTATTTAATATTAAATAATTATGTTTCAGTTCGAAATTACAGATATAAAGTGATAAACATTAGTGTAATTGTGTCTAAATATAGGATTTGTGGAAGATTTAACGAAGATAAGTACAGTTTTCCATCTTAAAAATCTAGACATACTTTTGATCATTATCAAAATATGAATCAAATACGATGCCCGTAGAAATTGCGTAACTACTTTGCACGATAATCACAATAAAATCTGCTGCGCAAGTAATTCAATAGCCCTATATCACAGTGTAGAAGTTTATCATATACCTGTGTATGAAATTCACAATGGCTGATATGTAAGTAAACAAGATGACTGTAATGTGTTAGTTATATATTCTTCACTTCGTCTATACAATTCATAAGAAATAGTTTGGTTGCAGTAAAGTAAAATCACGTAACAGAATAGTTGCATAGTTGACAATAACTGAATCTTGCACTGACGCAAATGTCCTATAGCGGCTGCAAGAGGCTTACAATTTTGTTGTGTAACTGTTACCTGCAGCCCTTATACAATCTCTTAAATGACTGAAGTGTCCTATTAGGTGTGTCCATTCCGCTTGTATAGCTGTTCTAAGAGGGTTTTGCCAGTGTTCTTACAGTTTACAATGCTGTGTATGGAATACTGTATAATCATTCTTGCAACTCTAATAGGAGTGATAATTGTTAGTTGGGGGCCTTATCTATCTGATAGGGCTGGGTTTCCCAACCTTTTATTTGTTGAGGCTCCCCGGACTATAAATTATATTTTCATGCCCCCCTTTACTTTTTCAATAAATATAAAAAACCGTACATTATATAGGTACAAAAACTATTATTTTAATTCTAATAAAGAAACTTTAAAAGTTTAAATAAACTCATACATGTTTTTTATCGAAACACTTGAATAAAATAAAAGTAGGTACTAATGAGACACTTTTGAGATTGCATGTTTTGAACCAGTTGGTTGATTCTATGCTCTCTTTTTACTAGAGCTATCATCAGGTCGCTATCGACATCAAGACGATTTCGCTGTTTAGTTTTATTAAAACTAGAGCAGAAAAGCCTGTCTCACATAAGTTGATAAAAAAGGATTTAGTATCCGTAAAGCACGAGAGGCAAGTGTCGAATTAACAGGCAATCTTTGATCCAAAATTTCTACAATGTTAAAAGATGGAAGTCATCTTTCATGGATGAATCAGCCTTCATTTCTAGAAATTCCTCCTGAACTTCTTCTGGTAATTGTGACACATCGACAACAAATAGATTTCTTGTCATATGCCATATTGGTGACTCTGAATTGATGTCTCGATAGTATCGGCGAAATTCGTCTTCCAGCGCTTGCAAATGAGTTTTCATGTCAGCTTTTAGCACGTCACTACACGCACCCCAAATTTTACACGAGCACACGCCCTATGGCATTTTGCTCAAATGCACTAAAATGGCTTAACGGTTAAGAAAAGACACCTAAAACAGTAGGTCTTGAGAACAAATTTTCGTTAATATAATTCGTTTATTTAGAAAGCATCCTGTTGTTTTGATTTTTATATCTCGTGTAGCGAGAATACACGCCATGTTAGCAGTTTGCCGGATTTACCATGACTTCGCTACACGCACTGTTAGCAATTTGCCACATAGTGATGTATTGAGTATTTTTCGGAAAATTGCAGTTTTTTACTAATAAAAATGTGTTTTCCGTTATTTCTGTTTCATCAACGTCACTATGATCCGATAAATCGTCACCTAATTCACTGGAACTACAGTCTGGAACTCCATCATTTAGACGTCTAAACCGCTATAACTGACGTTCATATGGGTCGTAGTAATTCATTTCAAATGTCGAATGACTGAAATACAGGTATATTAAAATAAATGCACCATAAATCAAAAATAAATAAATGTATAATCTTACCTATGATCACGCCTGTTAGAAAAATGCTCAATTTTGTTAATAAATAAGTCTACGGTGTCACATGCCTGTTAGCAAAATGCTCATGGATGCCGACATACACTCCGTCAAAGGATAGCAACAGACTGACGCGACTCATAGTCGTCCTTGTTAGAAGTAGTACAAGGAATATTTAGTCGCTCTATCCTGGTTTCGCATAAATAAGGAAGATATTAGGTAACTTCTGTATTTGCGGCAAAATGCACGTGTTATGACGTGTTAAATTTGCTTCCAGAATGTTATTTTTAGTTGCTTCGAACAGCCGAGAAAAAGATGTAACATTTTCAGAAGACACTTTATGATATGAACCTCTGAATATAATCAGAATTGCTTATTATAGTGTTGTTTCTGCGCTGAAGTTTCAAGTTTTGCTCATTCAAGGAGTCAGATATGTCAGTTAAGTAAGCCAATCTCCACTGAAATGTGTCATCTTTGAATATTGTCAAGAAATCGTGTTTTGGACAGCCAGCGTACTTCTGTATGGAACAGAAGAACTTTGTGATCAGAATCGAGATACTCGCGAAGTAAAGTAAATAACCGACTGTTCAAAGCGCAGCTCTTGATGTATCTTAAAATTATTATAGCCAAGTCCAAAGTCTGGCGTAATTTCTGTGGCAATATTTTGGAAGCCAAATCTTGCCGATGAATAACACAATGTGTAGGTACTAACCATTGCGAGATTTTTTTCCTTGAGCTTTTTAGCTAAGTCCGATCATTGCAGGTGCGCCATCTGTGCAAAGTCCAATGAGTTTCTTCCAATCCAAATATCTTTTTTCAAAAAAATTTGATATTGAATTAAATATATCTTCAGATGTAGTACCTGCTGTCAAAGATTGGGAGTACAAAATCTCTTCTTGAATGATATCTCCGCCGATGTAACGAACATAAACTATTGACTGTGCACAATTAACGGTGAATTCATCGCAACTAATGGCAAAAAATAGCGATACTTTTACTTTGTTAATTATTTGTGACTTTATGTCTGCTGCAATGTCTTCGATTCTACGCTTGACTGTGTTATTCTAAAGAGAAATAGACTTCATTTTTTGCTTTGCATCTTCTAAAATTATCTGCGTGGCTTTTAGGACACATGGTTTTATTAATTCTTCACCGATAGTATGAGGTTTTTTTTGATTTGCTATCCTAAAAGCTATTTCAAATGAAGCTTTGAGATGCTGCGATACACCTGAGTGATAACTTCCCGATTTATTCAGTCTTATCCGCTTGACTGATTCTGCTTCAGAAGAAAAAACTCTTTCGTCTTCAAAACCAGACTAGGATGTTGTTGCTTCCAATGCCTTTCAAGGCGATTGGGCCTCATGCTATCATTACTTAAAACTTTCATACATATCACACACTGAGGCAATTGTAACTTGTCTTTTTCTATGAAGGTAAATCCAAACTTAACGCAATCTTCGGAAAACTTTCTTGTTTTCGCTGCCATTTTGCAGCTATAACAATAAAACAAATATGT